TTTTTCACCAAGTAATCCATATGCAAATTTCCTGCAGTATTCAATATGCACTTCCAAGCTCAGTAAATGTTTTCTATTCTTTTCTGCTTAGCTCTCTCAGCTTTTTCCAATTAGGGCCTGTTTATTTAGAAAAAAAGAAAATGTCTAAAGAAAGGATTAAGCTCTGTATCTTATGGAGAAAGAATGAATATTAGAAATTCTTTCAGGATCTAGAGGATGCATTCTTTACTCATCCTCCCTGCTGGGATGAGTAATGAGAATAAAGAAAAAGGGGGCTGAAGCTTTTTACTTCATTTGGTTTGTTCAGCTGAAAACATGCCTTTGACAATCAGGAATTAAATTCAAAATTCATGACAATTCAGACAATGGTGCACATGGAATAAGCCTGTGGGCAAAAATAAATAAATAAAAGAGACATGCAAGCTCAAAAAGACCCACCTGGTGAGCAGAAGTTCTGCAAAAGCAAGAGAATACACAATGAGGAGGGGACAGGAGGACAGGCTAGTGAGAAAAGGCATAAATAGCTGAAGTTAGTATTTATGTCCAATGTAGGTTACCCAAGAAACAGAGTTGCAAGTTGAAGAGATGTCACAAAGGTATAGCCTCTCAGGGAAGTAGCCAGGGAAGACCAATGAGAGAAAACCAAGTGTTTATATCTTCAGCAACTACACCCTTGAAGATTGGTGTTTGCTTGCCTCCTTTAGGTTTCAATCAGGATTTGTCAAGTTAGCTACGGACCTGTTCTATTTGTTAATTGACTGAGTGATTGAGAGAGAGAGAGAGAGAAAAAAAAAGAAAAAGAGAGAGAGACCAACAAACCAAAACCCTAAACTTGAATTCCATGGAAGACAGGATGTTCCATCCTGGTGCCTGAGAAGGAATTTCTGCCACTAAGAATGGCCTGCTTCAAGAGGCTATTGTGAAGCTCAAAGAAATAGCGTATATGATATTTCACAAACTTCAAAGCATCATACCAATGAATGAGAGGTCATAAGAAGCAGTTATGGTTGGCACTGTATTAAAGAAAAGGAAATATCCTGGATGCTTCCAGGATCATGAAACAGATTCTTACCAAATTGGGCTGTGAAGAGTCGGGCATAAAATGTATGAAAATGTTAGATTAATTTTCTCTCCTGGCATTTAGAGATTCAAAAGGAAAAAAGAATTGATAAATTATAGTTAACAATAACTGATAAATTACAGTCAAGTATATTTCACCTCGTGATTAAGTGATATAATGAACTCTTCAGAAATCCTCATACTAAGTTTTGTTACTTAAGAGATCAAGTATAAAGAAGCGAACTTCAGGGGCTGGCAGGTGGCATGGTGGTTAAAGTGCTGGACTTCAACATGATCATCCACAGTTTGAATCTCAGATCTGGCAGCTTCCTTTCTCACTTTCTCTTTCTCTCTCTCTCTTTCTCTGGTCAAATTAAAAAATAATAATAATAAATAAATGAAATATACAATTAAAAAAAAATAAAATAAAAGAAGCAAACTCTAGAAAAAGAAAGGTGTTGATACAATTAGGAAATAAAAGTCTCCCTTTAATGACAGTTAAAGGAAAGACAAGGAAACTGAATGAATTAGTTAGTGTATGCATGCAAGTCAGTGGCTAGAAGCATACCATGGTCTGTTTTCTCCCACAAATATTCCCCCCACAATCCACATCCTCCCCCAAGAAAAGAAGAAAAAAAGAAAAGGCTTCTTTGACTCTTATCAAACCACCTGCTTACACTGTCCATGAGAAAACCACCACCATTTATTTGTAAAAGTTAAAGTTCATTTTCCAACGCATTAGTTGAAAGGGGGGAAAAAGCCTCCAATGGTTAAATTTTAAGTTCCAAGACACAGCAATGCTCTCAAATTTCAATTCCTTAAGTCTCAAGCTTAGAGAAAAATAAACTAAACAAAAGCCTGCCAGAAATCCAGGCTGGCTATTAAAATGTTACAACCAACCGCCATGGGTTTGAGACTGTTGATGGTATCCAAATCAACAGAAACGTCCTGGACAGAAGCCTTCAGATCACCATGGAACAGGCTTTGATGCCCTTTGTCTAATTCTGTAGAGACCCAATCCTCGAGTGGAATATTTTTGGCTGGTCAAATAAATGCCTTTCCCAGAAAGCCAAAGGGCTTGGACACATCATTCTGATACTCAGCTCATTCTTAAGTAACTCTACACACTGGATCTAACTCTCAGCTTTAGGGCACACCAAAAGACATTACATTTTTTTCTCTCTCTCCTTTTGATCCCATGGGCCAGTTGTATTTTTTTCTCTCCTTTCATTACCAAAGTAGCTTCCTCCTTGAGCCAACTTGAATAATCCCTCAACAGTAACCGCATTACAACAACGGCCGTGTACATGAGAGAGCTGATCAGGCTTTAATAACTTGGGGTGTTTAGTCTTTATCTTGCTTTTTCTTCTGCAGCTTCCCTGACATGGTGAGAGCTCCTCCAAAAGGGGCACGTTTCTGCCTCAACTGCCAGGCACATCAATAACAAGAACAATCTTCACTTGCAGCCCCAAGCTGATTAACCTCCCCCATCTTCCCTGGCAAATCGTCTAAGAAGTGTCCTGGAGAACCTGCCCTGGAACTCGCAGCATGGCATAAGCAGTTGGAGCTCAAACCTGAAAAATCTTCACTAGGCCTCTAAGCCACCTGCCTCCCATGGTGCCACAGTACGGGAAGAAAATCTCAAAGTGCCTCCATATCTATATATCTGTTCCCTCTTTGAAGGTGTGGCCTAGGGGTCTCAAATGGAAAACAGGATAAAATAATCATCAAGCAGTGGGTTTGGAGCCCTTTCCTGAGAGTGTTTTACACTGCCTACACATTAAACCTGTTCTTGTTTATGCAGTAATCAATGTATTTGGATTGAATAACACTTCCCCAGTTTGGCTGCCTAGCCAATTAATGTCTTTGCTTTCACCTTTATAATTAGCACATTCAAAAAGAAGATTTTAAAAGTTGCTATTGAGGTGGCAGTGAAGAGAAGGCATGAGACTGTGTGCAGAAGGAACAAAGACTCCAACTACAGGGAGTTGTGAGATGAACCCGGAGATGGAATTTGCATATTGCAGACATGTCAGCCAAGGGACTTATCAGGCAGCCCTAAGGATATACCACCAGGGCAGTACTGACATCGAAAATTAGATCCTCATCCCAGAGGCAATGCTAGAGAATGTGATTTTAAATAGAAGCCATATTTAAAAACCTTGCTGTTAGGCATATACATATACTACGACTCTAGAAAACACAGAAAGAAATCTGCACTGACAGGCTTCTTGGTGAGGTTTCTTTAATTCTCATTCCCAGTCCAGCTTAGATGCACAAAGGAAAAAGCTTCTTAATGTTTTTCCTTTTGTCTTAAAAATTAAGCATTTACATCATCTGATCAGGTCCACACAAAGACTCACACCGTGAATGTTGCAAGACTGTGCAAAATGTTCTTCCTGAAGTGACCATGGGGCAAACCAAGCAGCCTCTTGGGAATGAGAAATGAGGCCTCAGACAAAGGGATCATCACAGCTCATGAATCAGACCTTCAGTGTGGGAACTCAGGGGTAGCAAATGCTACACTCTTAAAGTTCTTCATAAAAAGTTGATTGGTAATGGAAGGCTGTGATTCCTTCAGTCACCCAAAGCCCTGATTTTCTCCCAGAATGTTGCAACATTGCCTCTACTCCCTCAGTATCCTGGAAGCATATTTTGGAAGTAAATGTCTGTCATATGCAACCACCAAGCCCTTATGAGAACAACAACTCAATTCAGAGTTTCATGTGCTTTCCCCCACTATGTGTAGCAACAATAAGGCTCTCTGTAAATGAGAAGAGAAAGAAAGCACCATTTTATTGAGCATCTAGTAGAAACTAGGCCACAGGCCAGGTAAAATCAGAAAGTTTTCCTAAATTAATTCTAAAAAAATTGTTGTGAGTCATGAGGCTCATTTTACTAGTGAAGGATTGGAAACTCAAAAAAGGCAAGCAATAATGCCTAAAAGTAAATGTAGTAGGGACTGGACTAAGAATGGTGTGCCAACAGAGCCCTCTTTCTCTTCCTTCTACCCTGTTATCCTGAGAGTCCTTAATAAATTTACCTTTTTTTTTTTTTAAAGAATTTTGACATAGGGCACATGCACTCACCAAGGACAGACAGAGAGGGACAGCAGGAAAGTGAGTAATCACCCCCCAGGAGGGATGGCCACATTGAAATCCCTTCTCCTCGATTCTCTGCCTGGGATCTTGGACACTTACACACAAGTGACCAGTGTGATTTTCAAGCCACCAGGTCTGGGACTTAAATCACAGCTGGCCACGTAGGAGTCCAGTGCTCCAATCACCACACCACCGGCTGACCCCAAGAAGCTTCTCTTCTTAAGCACAGGGCTCTGCCTTAAGATTTCATTTCATTGTTCATTTAGTCAATAAACAGGTGTTGGGTTTCACTCTAGGCTAGATACTATGGTAAAATCTCAGCATGTGAAGAATGGGATAGAGTCCTTGCCCTCAGAAAACTCACAAATAATTGGCTATGTGGGCACATATGCAAACAGATGCAATTCAATGTGATATAATCAAAGACAAAAGCAAAAACAGAGACTGCGTGAATCTAGACAATATCGTAAAGAAAGTAACTTCTGACACGGGTGTCAAGATATGACTAGGAGTCTCAAGTACTGAGTAAATCATGTAGGGACATCCAGGCTGAGGAAATAATATTGGTCAAGCTTCAGGTGGGAAAATAGGTAACATGTGGGAGCAAGCTGCAAGAGCCGTTCCCTGGTGGTTAAATAGAGGGTTAAAGGTCTGGGTCAGGCTGCAGTGAAGACTGTAGGAAAGCCGTGAACCCCACTCTACACCTGATGTTTTGTTTTGTTTCAGTAGCTAGTCTGTAGATAGGGGCTTTTGCTGTGTTCTGTGTCCCTCCCTCCCAAATGCACATTTTGAAATCTTAATCTATAAGTGATGGTTTTAGGAGGTGGGGCTTTGGGGAGGTGATTATGTCATAAAGGTGGGGGTCTCATGAATGAAATGAAGGCCCTTGTAAAAGTGACCTTGGAGAGCTAGTTAGCTTCTTCTACCATGAGAGGACACAGAAAAAACACATGACAGCTAGAAGCGGGTCCCCACCAAACGTCAAATCTGCCAGTGCTTTTATTTTGGACTTCTCAGCTTCTAGAACTGTGAGAAATAAATTTCTGTTGTTTATAGCCTGCCCCCAATATAAGGTAGCCTGCCCCCAGTATAAGGTATTTTGTTATAGCAGCCTGAAAAGACCAAGACAGCTTTAAAATGAAAATGAGGACATATAAATCCCCTAATTAAAATATTCCACCAGCTTCCACAGAATTTAGAATAAAATGCAAATCCCTCTTCACTGTTGGCCAACAAGGCCCATGTGATCTGGTCTCTGCCATATCTCTGACTTCATCCCTTCCACTGTCCTCACAAATATTCTAGGTACACTTCCTAAATAAAACACATGATGCCCTTCCCACGTTAGGGTCTTTTGCATGCCATTTCCTCTCCCAAACACGGTCTCTGACTCTTCTCAGAACGGTTTCTTCTCAGACTTCGGTTCCACCACGATTTCCTGAAAGACTTCTCCCACCTCCTCCTCTTAGACAGTCTCTCTGAGTTCTGGGTTGAATTGTGTTACTCCCAAATTTATGTGTTGCAATCCTACCTGCCAGTACTTCACACTGTGTCAGAGTGAGGTCTTTACAGGGGTAACCATGTTAAAATGAGGTTATTAGGATGGACACTAAGCCAAATGTCTGGTATCTATATAAAAACAAGAAATTCGAATGCAGAGGTATACACAAAGAGATGATGATGTGAAAATATAGGAGAACACTGTGTGAATGTGAAAATGGCCATCTATTAGCTAAAGAGAGGAGTCTGGAACAGATTCTTCCTCACAGCCCTTAGCTGAAACAAACTCTGCCAATGCCTTGATTTTGGACTTGCAGTCTCCAAAATTGTGAGACAATACATTTCTGTTAGTTAAGCCATCCAGTTTGTGGTACTTTGTGATGGCAAGCCTTGCTAATAAATACGTGCACCACATTCCCTGTTTATTTCTTCTGTAGCACCTGCCACTATCCAGAATCATCTGGTTTACTTACTGCTTGCCTATTACTGCTGCCTAGCCCCACGCAGGCACGGTTCTTTTGCTTGGTTCATCTTTCTCCCTCTTGGCACACAGTAAGTCCCAGTAAGTATTTTTTTTTTCTTTTTTGGAGAGGTTTTTGCTATAGGGCTCATGTACTTGCCAGAAAGACAGAGAGAGACAGAGAGACAGAGTGTGAGAAATCACCCCCATAGAGGATGGCCATGCCGCAATCCCTTCTCCTCCATTCTCCTCTCGGGATCTTGGACACGCACACACATGTGCCTGGAACAGTAAGTTTTTCATTGAATGAGTTAATGAAAAGATTGTGTTTTGGTGGACTGGTCATTGGTGTTCATTTATTCATCATGTACTCTAATCAACTTACAGTTGGTCACAGGGCCTACCCACCCTGAGCAAACAAGGGAAAACTAGTCCTCAGGAAACCAAGAGGATTCACTAACAGTGAGGTCAGCACCATCTACCAGTGCCTTCACAAATTCTCATTTTGCTCTTTGCCCAAGTTCTCCATGTGAGCATAGTTTGAAAGATCTAGTTTTTTTTTTTTTTTTTCCCAATGTCCTGATATCCCGCCAAACCAGATTCAATTGATTGAAATATAGCCTGCTGATGCTTTTGTAAGGCTAAAGAAGCGGATGGCAACCTTCCACCCTTTTGCTGAATGGTGTAATTGGCCTGCCATAGAGAATTGGGGAATTTTAACACATTCCCCATTTGGCTGAGCTCACCCATTATTCCTCAGTTGCTATCAGAGCCACAGACTTTTCTTCTTCAGGGTCATTAAGCTTGTCAAAACTAATTTGTCACCACAACTGCTGACCCTCATTGCTCTGACAGCAACACAAGGATCACCCTAAATAGGCTCTTGCATTACAAGAAAGTAAATGGCTCATCAGAACCCACTGTGCTCTTGCTGTATGGCTTATAATGGCTTTCTGACCCCAGAAGATGAGGTAACAGTATCCCCTAAGTGACACAGGTCACCAAACCCATGTAGTGATCATCCTGCTACTACAATAAACAAACAAACAAGTAAAATGAAGAAATGCTTGAAATACAGGCTTGCATCTGATTTGTGACTAAAATATGCTGTTCCCTGGCTTTGAGAAAATCCGAATATATTACATGTTCTCTCCATGCAACCACCCAATGGCAGTCAGGTGGAATTAAACATGCCATAAATCATGGGTCTCTAATAAGCCAGTCAGAATAACATTCTTTGAGAGTGTCTTGATTGTAAATGCAAAAATATTCCAAAATTAAGGTTGCCAACATTTGAGAGGAAGAAGGAAACTTGCTGTGAGGAAACAGCGTCCCGTTCTGAAACAGTACTTTGTGGGCTCACCCATACTGAGAATAGTTACCAACCATTTGCTCGATTTGGCAGGTTTTGTACGTCTGCATGCAAATCTCTGCACACTCAGACAAAGGTAAGAACAAGTCTATTAATTTCAAAAGAATGAGGGGATCCGGCAATCAGGCATCAGGAAAAGTTTCATTAACACTTTCAGGCTCAAGGGTACCATTTAATACTTGAACTAATAAAACTCCCTCAAATAAAAAGTTAATCATGATCTCAATGTATCTTGATAGAAACATCACATGTGAAAATTACATTATCAAAGAACTTTCACTCTTTTCCCCTAACAAGATTCGGCCCTACAAACTGAGTTTGAAATAATCAGCTGCAACTGCATTTTCTTGGTGGCATTATAGATTAGATGCAATGACAATATATAAAGTAACAGTAGAAATACCAAATGCTCACACTCACACCTTACTAGTTTCTTCCCCAGCAATATTAATTTTCTCTTTCTAAAAGGGGTCCCAGTTCCCTAATGAAAATTAACACTGTACGTGTACCACTGGCAAAAGAATTATATCTCTTGAAAAAAGGCCAAGTCTTTGGTTGTTTACTTATATTTATTCAAACAGATCTGTAGGCCCATAGTTCCTCACTGATGTCATGCCTTTGGGCAGTTTTTTGGTTTGCTTTTCATTTGAGAAGAGACTACAGGATGGGTTGAAAAACAGTAAAAAGGGGAGAAATGAGAAAAATGGGGAATACATAAGCCATCACTTCATGGGAGTTACAGATTAGCTACTTTCTAATGATGTCACTCGGTTTTCACTCTGGCAACAGGGATCCCCCACCCCCACCCCCTGCACTTTCAGTGAGGAGTAAGCTAAAAACTTGGCAAATTGCAGAGTAACAAAGTCCTGAATTGGCAGCCAAGATTTGGATGTGAATTTTAAGTTGTTTTCTCCCCAAATGTCCAACAAGATCTGCTGTGATTTAAGAAGGGGGAGAAAGGGATTTATTGATGTATAAAAAGCCACATTTCAGAGATGCCAGTGCTAATCAATAACTGGGATTTAACAAAAGACCATGTTCGGCTCAGTAATGAAAAGGACATACATATAAAGGCAAGTATAATTACATGGTATAAATAAGGGAGAGGTTGCCAGAGCTTGCGTGTTGCCAAGTGCCTCAAATATTCATGTTCTTTGAAAGACTTATTTTTGTGTCTATGGAGGATGAATAAACCTTGCTAAAAAAAATAAGGCTCTTCCCAAACCTTTGCTCATTTCTGGAATTGAACCCATTTGCAGGTTCTGAAATGTTTAACTTTGTTTTTCATTAATTCGACATGTTCGCACATCCCCTGCACTTCTGGAGCTCTGAACAAAACTGGCAGTGAGAGCATGTTGCAACCCTGAAGCGAGGACCGCTCCTCCGGCACCGCCGGTCCTGCTACAGATGTGCTGTGTGGTCTCATGAGATGTCAGGCCACACTCCGCATCCCTGTGAAATCTGAGCTATCCTCAGAATCAGGAAACTTTTTGGTCCTGAGCCAAGTGGGATCTCACTTCCTAATTTTCATTTGATTCAGATAGAGTCCAAGTCAGCTCTGTGCTATTGGGACCAATCTCCAATGCAGAGAGAAAATATGAGGAATATTAGTTGCTGATGAATGGAGGCTCCTTTCTTGATCTTAAGTTTAACACCCACAATGTGTGTGTGTGTGTGTGTGTGTGTGTGTGTGTGTGTGTAGGGGATCAGTTAGGAGATTGCTATGTTAATCAGTGTTAAGAATTGCAAGGAAAGCAAAATTTGCCAATGCAGTCTTATATTTTAAAAACGTTGATCTAGATAAAGAGAAAGAGAGAGAGAAAGAAGAACATGGTCTCATGCCACCATCCCCCTCCTGGCCTTTCCCAATCAGCCAGGATCACAATTGCGTGTGCACACATTGATCTGGGAACCAGCACTATGCTACAGCTGTATCATCAGGGCTGGACTGGGTCGCCACTGTGATGCCACGGTGAGGCCAAGGCAAACTGGCCTCATGGGCAATGGTTTCTAGTACAGGAAGTATAAACAGACATGCCTTTTGGAGACAGTACATGGAAGGGCCTTCTACTCATTTACCCTTATGTCAATTTTCAGATTCATTTCTGAATCTGATTGCCAAGAAGCTGCAATGAACTGAACACCATCTCCCACTGGTAAATTGGACACTTTTTCCAATCTGTGAGACTGCGTGAACTGCTTCAGGCTGTTGCACATGTTTTGAGTACACAACTGTGGTAGTACAGTCACTGGTAGAAGTTCCTAGTAACTGGAGGTGTTTTCTAAGCAGACGCAGAGAAAGTGCTGGGTTGCAAAGAAGCACTGCTGGCCCGGCCATTAGCTTCAAGGAGAGAATGTATTATGTTTATCACAGATTGATGGGACTAATTTACAGAATCATCAGCGAATGTGATGTATCTCCTCAGTCTCTCACATAGCCTTTTCTAGACAGAAAGATAAATCTGGAGCTCAGCACAAGCTCATTTAATTTTCACCTGACAGCCAGTAATAACAGAAGCATCTTATAAAGGTTATGTTTCGATGAAAAAAATCTATTACTGGGTGTATAAAACACACTTGCATTAATTACATTTTCTTTGGATTGCATTTGACAAAAGGTCAAGGAACTACCAAAAAAAAAAAAAAACCATAAAAGAGAATTCTACTTATTATTTAAAATTTTCTTTTCCTAATTTCCCAGAAATTCCATAACATATTCTATACTTTAGTTACTTTTCATGTTTAATTAAATTTGATCTTCTGAAGATGACTAAGCAAATATATTATCAGGTATATAACAAGAATCAATTATTATCCAACAGATGACGTATCTATATTTCTAAGAATGCCTGTGTCTAGAACATTCCTTACCTGTCATCCTAGAATATGCAAAAAGAACAAGAGACAAGAACAGAATCTTTTCAAATACTGTCTTAACAAAATATATTGTTAAAATTATTTATAACAGGCAATGACAAAGCCCTTGTAATTTAAGATTTTTTTTTAGGCTTTTTGCTATAGGGCACCTATGCTTGCTGGAAAGACAGAGAGAAACAATGAGAGGGAAAGTGAGAAATCACCCCCCAGGAGGGATGGCCATGGTACAACCCCTTCTGCTCCACCCCCCCTGGATTTTGGGCACACAAGTACATGTACCTGGCATGATTTTCAAGCTGCCAGGTCTGGGACTTGAACCGGGGTTGGCCATGTGGGAATCCAGCCCTTCAACCACCATGCCAACTGCTGTCCCAAACTCTTTATCTTAATCATCAAGATTCTAGAAAAGAGTTGTAAAATATTAGTGGAAACAAACAAACAAACAAACAAACGCTCCCTAACCTCTCACCAAACATGAAGATAAGAAGATCAGTACAGTGGAAGAAGTTGCTGGAGGATGCTGCTTCCAAGATCAGTTATGTTCGTCTTTGCAGTGAATAGCACATCTCCCTCATCCAGGTGTACCACGAGATGACTAATGACTGACAGCTTCTAACTCCACACATCCTCCCCCATTCTGTGCTGGTTACTTGGACCCCAGGAAATGAAGGGAATTGGGAGACAAAGCGTATGAAGACCACCACAACTTCATATAACCCTGACCATCATACATATACTTGTCACTGTATGTTAAAACCATCTCCTCAAAGTGTCATCTTCAGACCACAGTGTCAGTATTACCTGACATTTGGCAAAAATCCAGAATTCCAGACCCCCAATGTCTAATAAATCAGAATTTCCATTTTTAACAGGAAACCTGGGTTTGAAACACAAAACAGTGGTCCTCTCTGCTCTATTAGACATTAGCTAGTGTAGAAGCAGTAAGAGGGCAGATATCTTCACCAGCTATCTTCACCAGCTATCTTCACCTTTCTTAGATACTGATAAATCCCTGATGGCTAGAACAATGCCTGACACACACCAAGTGCTCACTACACCTCTTATTTGCTGATGATTTTGAAGGAAGCCCTGAACAGGACTGATAAACTTCACACCACTGCTGCAAAATGATTATCACTTCCGGGGACCAGCAGTTAGCGTAATGGCTATGTCACTGGACTCCCATGTAGTCGACCGTGGTTCGTGTCCCGGACCCAGTGGCTTAAAACTCACGCCAGGCACGTGTGCGTGCGTGCTCAAGATCCCGAGAAGAGAATGGAGGAAAAGGGACTGCGGCGTGACCATTCCCACTGGGGGGTGATTTCTCGCTTTCTGTCTCTATGTCTCTGTCTGTCTAGGAAGCACACACGCCCTATAACAAAAAAAACCTCTCCAAAAAAAAAAAAAGATTATGGCTTTATTTTTTTTTTTTTTTTTTTTTTTTTTTTTTTTTTTTTTTTTTTTTTTTTACTGACCAGTTACT